TATATCATACAGTGCTAGTGTACAATTAAAAAGGCATATTTATGTACATATGCAGCTACATATTTATTGCATATTTATGCCTAAGTTTAACATTTAATAAATGTGACACTTCACTTTCAATGTTAATGGACTTTGACCTTGGTTTATGTATTCGGGAATCAACTCATTCTCATTCTGCTTCAAACTGGAATTCATACTTTTAGCAGTTAAATCAAAGGAAGTTGGAACACAAATTGTACGAATCCATGGGAGTGTTCCCCATAAGCACCCGTTTGGCCACCGTAAGAACTCTGTGTGTGCGTGTGTGCGCGCGCGCGCATGCGCATATGTAGGAAAGACAGAGAATGTTATCTCACTCTGGAGTTTTGTTCTCAAAGCATACCTAGACCATTGCTTCTTTGGAAATGACTGACTGCTGACTTATTTAATTTTAACTTTTGTTGATAAGTGTTTGGCTTTTCTGTGCCTCCAAAAAATCTCTTTGCTTCTTAGGATCTTAGTCTTGGAAGAGAGGCTTTCTAGGTCAGTCCTCCCTGGGCAGGGACAGACAGTCTGTCCAAGCTCCCAACACTTCAACCTGCACAATTAAAGCTAGTGGAGGGTGGGGGTCCCTCATCAATTCCAGCCATACCTGCTCAACAGCAATCCAAAAGAAAGCAAGCAGTGCTTTTTTATTTTAGGTTATTCAAGCTGGGGCACCAAAGAGCACACTGCAGGAGAGGTGAATGTTGAAACTGGAAAGGTAGAAGTGTGAAGGGACCCAGTCCTCAACACCTCTACAGCTGGTCTTCCACAACCAGAACTGGCCTCCAGTTTCTGCAGGGACTGCATTGAGTTGGATCTTGGTAGCATCTTCTCTGAGTGCCTTCAGAGATTCTTTTCACTGCCCTCAGCTTTCAGCTGTTACCTGCCATCTGCAAGACCCAGTGGAGACTGTGCTTTATCCTCCAATGCATCTCTGACAAGGAAGCAGAACTGGAAAAAGTACATGGTGTTGCTAGAATTAAATGCTGCATCATTTGCAACTTGGGGGCATTTGGGAATAGACACTGCTGTCTAAGCTGTCCTCAGGCTGGTTGGTGGTGGTTTGTTTATTTTTCTTATACTTGCATCACAGAATGCAGACTTTTTTAAAGTGTTGTTTTGTGTGCCCTAACACGGATTTTGTGAAGGGTGGGAGATCTTGATGCCTAATGTGCAGAAAATAGTGAGCCCCTAGGATACTTCTCATTTGAAATCAAAACATGAAAGTCAGATTTTGATAGCTTTCAAATTTTCCTGGCTTCTCTACCAGTGGCATTAATTGCTCTCCTGCTGTGCCAGTTGTGAGGCTGTTTAGCTTTCAACATTCAGCAGGTGTTTAGTCTGACAGCTTTATTTTGTGGGTATCTTTTTTGCTTGCTTGTTTTGTTTACTGTAAAGCTTCTTTGTAAGGCACACATTGAAATTAGTTTTGTAAAGGGCTCATCATGCGATATCATATAAAGGTGGCCTCTGGATAAATCATTTTATGCATGCAAATGGAAAATGAAGGCTGACATTGAATTTTGCTACTGACCTTACCACTGTTGATCTCGGTTGGATGATGTTTCCCCAAGATCTCTTCTGCATGCCACAGGGAAGCACGATCTTGTCTTCTTTCCCACTTATCTGGTGCAGTTGCCCCTGGATGTCTCTGCATGCGTCTAACATTGAACCATGTATGTCTGAATGAAATCTTTCCTATGCAAGCCTGACGGTGTAATGGTCCATGGCTTTTGGACTACTGTAACTCCAGCCATCTTGTCCTGACATGGCCCATTTTGTCTCCAGAGTTTAAACTAAATTAGTATGCTGTTTTCAATCTTTTGTTTTGTTTTGTTTTTTACATATTCCTGACAGTCTGTTCTCTTTCTCTCAAAGACTTGTTTACTCTCTTTTGTTGTTGCCTGGGGTTAATTTAAATACTTGGCCTGCCAGAAAGCCTTATGTGATACTTGAACATAATATTGTCGAAAAGTGAACTGTTGGATTGGAAAGTCATCTGAACTGAATGAGGACAGAGATTGAACTGAATCATACTCTATCATACTCTTGTATCTTTGAGTATGATAGAAAATTAGCAGAAATGTGCTGTTGTCAGAATATAAAAACTGTTTAGAGCAATTCATTTAGCCTAGCTTAGGGTAACTGACCAGGTATTGCAGGTAGTGGAGATGTTTGATGCCAATCTTTGGCACACCTGAGAGGTTCAAGGCTCTGGGTCTAAGTTTTTAAATCCCTAAATGACTTGGGCACTTTATACACTGTGTTCTTCCTCTGATCCCTGAGGTACACTCCAAATGCACCTCAGGGAATTGTTTTCCTTTGTTCTGAGTCTCCTCACTGTCTGGGATGTGTTGGTGAGCATGAGCTGCAGGACCTTCTCAGTTACGGCACTAGCATTGTAGAACAGTCTTCCTAGGGAAGCCCATCAGGCCCCAGGCACCTCCTTTCTTTCCACCCCTTACTAAGACTTGGACTTTTGTTTGAAATTAATTGGAGTGCATTTGATCCAGTATTGTATTGAGAAAAGTAGCCCCATCATTGCGTTAACAACCTGTTGCTAAGGGGGTTTTAATTAGATACTACATTGTGTGCTTTAATTGGTAAAGAGGATTATATTTGCTTTTGAAAACAGAAGTGGCATAGTTAAACTAAAACAAATAAAGCACATATTGTGCCAAGGAAACAGAAGGAGACAGAAATGCCACCAGGCCGTATTCAGCTATTTACTGGGGAGTTGGGAGCCATAGGTAGTTTTAGCTGGTACTTTTCCTCAGGAACAGAGCAGATTTTGCACAAAGCTTCTATCAAAAACTCTGTAATGAACAGGGGAGATTCTCACAACAACTCTATTCAGTCTTTCCCCTTTCAGCAGAAAGTGGGTTGCCTCGCAAGGCTCAAAGAAAGCAGTTCCAATGTATATATAAAGCCTTCCTTTCCCTTTGCTGATTGGAATTAAGCTGCTCCCTTGGGAGTCTTGGAGCCACCACCATTGCCAGCTCATCTCTGCTGACAGAAAGTAGGTTCTTCTTGAATTGACTTAAGAACTGCCAAATCACGAACAACTGCCTAAAACTTGCTCTACTCTAAAATGTGCTCTGGCCAATGTGGTGGGGTGAGCCTTGTCTCAGCATGCTCATTCACAGAAATTTTTCCAGAAAAGGGGCTGCTAAATAGATTTTCCTCTACGTCATTACGTGCTGGCAAACTTCAGGGGCGTACGTGAGAGGCTGACCATCTTGGCTCAGATTCTAAGAATGAGGTGTGTGCACGGGAGTTGGCATATTCTGGCAGGGCTGACAGCTCAGGCTCTGATAATGAAATGATTGTTGAAATGGACTCAGCTCCAGCTGCCATCCAAGGCTCTGTGTACCCACCTGTGCCTGCTAGGGAAGAGATTAGAACAAGGGCAGCTGAGGGGCCCAGTCAACACAGCCGTGGGAACAAAGAAGAACAACAACATTGGGGGGCGGGATTTAGAGATGGGGAGTCTGTTGGTTGGAGAACTCCTGAGGAGGTGGACCCAAAGGTCTGTTGTCACAGTCATAGGGTGGCCCAATCGGAATCCCAGAAGGATGAGCAAAAGTGTGCCCAGTTCCAGAGTGCTCCTCCCCATAGAGACAGGTGCAGAAGGATTCATAAGCAAAGCTTTGGGTGAAGAGGGCCAGAGAGGGTTCAACATGTTGCTTTGTGTATGCTAAGAGACTTACATTGTAAAATAAAGACATTTGGGCAAGAAGGGCTGGTGATACTGTTGCTGCTGGGAGGGAGAACTCAGCTCACAACTGACATTCTCTCTAATTGCAAAGTCATTAGCCTCATGCTAATGGCAGGAGTCCATCCATAAACATACCTGAGACCTTACTTGAGGAAACTTCAAGCTGGCTAGAAGTATTGTTCATCTGGCAGCAGGGAGAAGAAGCGTATCTCTGAACATGTTGGAGTCCCTCACTGTCATCCTTCAGCCCTGTGGGTGGGCTGATGGGTAAAAAGTCAGCATTTGGTTCTTCCTGGACTGACAGGGCAGACTGGCCCTGTGGAAGCGCCTTCGTTCACCTGCCTGTTTCCTGGCATGGGTGGACACTGCTGCAGGCTTCAGGCAGCGGAAGGAGTAACAACTCCATGCTGTGGTAGTGGTGGAAGGTTACCCCAGAACAAGTATGGAAATTGGAGTTGAGGCGGGTGCTACAGGATTTGAGGAGGAGCCATTCAGCATGGCAGCCAGTGTTTCCCCATGTTAGTCAGCCCAAGTTTTGAGGTCTTCAGGGGAGCTCCTCCTTTCTCTTCCACCTGCATCTGAACCACGTCTGGGGGGACGCAACTGGGCCTTCTTGGTGCCTGCTGCAAGGCAGCTTGGCAAGGGAGCTCCATCTAACCTCTCCGTGGATGGCCTTCCTGCTGGCAGGCGACAATTTCCTGTACAGAGCCTGTGTGGGATTGTGGCCAATCACCAAGTGTTAGCTTGGCCTGCACTGCAGTTGTGGTGAAGACAAAAATGGGACTTTGCAAGCAGCCTTGCATGCCTTGCTAGAAGAAAAAAGGCTAGATACATATTTAATTAACTAATGAATAAAGACATGCTTTTTGGGTGATCTGCTGATTTGTTAGGGCCAGGTGAATATATCACAATATATTCAAATGGCTATTATTTTAATTGATGTGTTCTGGTTGCCTAAAACATGTTTATTGTTATTTACAGCTATTGGCTGCTTTAAGCATTCTTTGAAACTATTTTAGTTAACATACATATAAAGAACTGTTGGACTAGGGATGGGGTTAAAATAGGGGTAGGAGGGCAAAACTGAAAGTGAACATGCTGGTGAATCAGCTGCAGCATTTAGTTGCAGCTTCTGCTTTGAAATTAACAAGAGCAATGCTGTGCGATCTGTACCCAGCCTCACTTTCACAGATAACACAGGTGGAAAGAATGTTCTTTAAGTGTTTGACATAAATATTTTACATCTTTGTCAACATAGGTTTTGATGAACTCCATGCTTGTGCTGATCCTGGATTCCCTGAATATGGATATAAGATGCCCAGCACAGGTGTATTCTTTGAAAGTTCAGTAGTCCGGTTTCATTGCCAAGAAGGATATAGGCTAAAGGGTCCATCCAAAAAGCTTTGCGAGAGACATTTTAACGGCTCCCTGAGCTGGAAGCCAAGTGAGAAACCTGTGTGCCTACAAGAAGGTAAGCCTGGGTCACTGCTAAGAAGCTTCACTTCATTGTGAAAAGTTTGGGTTTGCCTCCCATTTGTGGTTCTAATGTGTACTGAGTGCTGGAAACTGGTACATATTGATGCCTGTGTGTACTTGTTGGGAGCTGGGTTGGGGAAGTTCCTGTGGACATGGTATCTGTCAACAAACAGATAAAAGTTTAATACTGGTTTTATTTAATTGCTAGTCTGCTGCCTGGATGCTCTTTATATAACTAATGTCTTGTTTTATTGGGGAATATGATGAAGTTGTAATTACAATAAAGGTATATATTAATGGTATATATTTGTAAACCACCCAGAGAGCTTTGGCTACAGATGGCATAGAAATGAAGTAATAGTAATAAGAAGTAGAGTTAATCAGTTATGCATTGCTGGCTGTTGTACATTATTCATTTGAAGGTACAGAAGAATGGCCACCAAATTATGAAATGCAGTAATAAAGCAATTCTACTTCTATATTAAGAATGCATCTATTGATATAATGCACCTTGTTTTATTTTGTATGTAATTATTCCAGTTTTCTTATGTGCAATGTTGTGGTTAGGGTGTATTTGATTAAAAAAAGTTAAACAAGCAAATCATTAACATCAATTTTGGATAAAGCTGCATCCATGCAAAACAAAAATCATTTATTAAACCAGGTGCACTAAAATCCCAGCTCCTTATTGAGTGGCTGAGCAGTTGTTTAGTGATGTTTTCACAATTAAGAAATGTAAGACTGTAGCATGAATTGTGTGTGCATGCGCGCATATGTGTATGAAAAAGCACCCTGTGGAAAACGTTCAGATGCCATTCTGCCTGGAGTATTATCATCCTGTGTACATTTTAATAGTGCTGGAAAGGCTCTTGCAGGGGGGAGGCAGGGGTGGGAAGGACTCTGTTGTTCTTCACTTGCTACCAATCCTAACATGTTTTATTGCTAAATCCTCTTTCTGCTGCAGCTTAGCAAGCAAAGTGTTCTTTGCTTAATTGGGGAGGTGGAAGAGAAGGTGGGGATATTTATTTGAAGTTGTCTTCACTTAATAAAAACAATAACACGACTTAGTAATGACATTTAGAATATTTGTGTCATTCCAAAGAAAGAAATGACTGATCAGCAGGAATAATATTTAAATGTGAAGAGTCCAGAGTGTTGTGTAGCCTGCGCACAAAGCAACAGTGTTGCTATCAGTTAAGTAATGTGTAGATTTGGGCTGTATTTTCTTTCAAACCTCCTTCTGGCTGCATGACAATGACAGTGTATTTGAGATTTCTACCGCTCTACCTTATCTTTCTTGTTCCTGCATGTAGCAAGCAGAACGCACATATCAAATTTCATTTTTCAAGTCACTGCATTCTGTTGGCAAAATGGAAAGGAGTAAGCTTGAAATAACTAAGACAACATTTCATTTACTTATGTCTAGAAGAGATATTTTTCAGCAGTATGATGTTTGCATATTTTATATTGTGACACAAATCTTATTAGAAGAGTTTATGTTTTTCTTTTGCTTTGAGTTTCACTCCCAAGCATGTACACCGACTACACATTTTTGCCTGCAATTGGCACTGGGTGTCATGTAATACATTATAAAAGAGAAGGGCAATGTACATCCAAACCCCTTAAATAAGGCAGACTGATGTTAAATGTGTGTGGAAAGAGGAATATGTTTCCAAAATTCTGATAGAGAACTTATTACAGCTTTGTAAAAATGCTGTCATCTTGACTATTATAGCAAGTAATAGCCTTTGGTGACTCAGTGACGCTAGGGATGGGAGAACTTGAGCTCACCAAAATTCTCTGAACTTTATTTGGAAGGTTGGTTCAATGTGCTCCCACCTGTTTTTTTAAAGTTCCTTTGCATGGAAAAAGTGCGAAGTGCATTTTTCAAAAGTGATGCTTTTCCTCCACTGACTAAAACATGAAAGAGCAATTTTTAAAAATGGTGCATTTTTCAAAGATGTTTGAAAACATCCCCAAATTTGGGGATTAAAACAGTTCTGACGAACATGCAAGACCATTCATGAGTGACCTGTGGACTAATACTGAATTCTGATGCATCCCTGCCTGGCCCTGCCACTTCTCCGTGTGAGCGTGCGCTGCCCCCTTCTGGGCTCCCAGGCATAAGTGCGCACGCATCAGTCACAATGGTCTATTGTGTTTTCTTTGCTCTCACTATTGTCACTGATGGAACTTGTGCGTTTGATGATTTGCAACACCAAAACTGAAATTATCTTCACAAACGCCAAACTGATATAGTTGCCTGATGACAAACCCATCTAGCGACACATAAAACATTTCAAAGGTCACCAAATATTAACATTTGTGTGTAATGTAATTTTTTTACAACTCATAAATATCCTAAGTCTTTGCATCTAAACTCTGCTGGGCAGGTGTTGGTAAAGAAAAATCTAAAAATGGCTTCAGCTGCATGTTGTATCTCTAACTTAAACTTTACAACTGCTCGCCTCCTTCAATAATAATTCTGCACTATATGTTCTACATACGTATGCTTATATATGTTCCCCATTTTAAACAAAGGAAAAGGTTACAAAAAAGCCATGCAGGCTTGTACCTAAAATAGTAGGACAATAGTAAAACAACCTTTGTTGCTTTTACTTATTTCTGTGCCACATTCTTCCTCTCTTCTTCAGTTGTTGAGGCTAGAAAAAGAAATGCATACACCCTTACGCATGATGATCCTGCGTGGTAAGCAACCTGAGTTGTGATTTGGTGTTCTCCTGTAAAGAAAGGATTCCTGTGATCTGGAGTTGCTCCTCCCCATTTAAACTGGCAAGTGGCCACTGCTGACCAGGAAGCGTCTATGTGCTTGCCTGGACAACTCCAGTATTTGCAGTGCCTTATTCCTGATGTGTGATCTTCTGGTTCCCGTATTGTGGCTGTCTGTCAACAATTACTGATAGCTCAGCTGTGACAGATGTTTGCCATGCTGTCTACACTGACAGTGTAATGGTATTATATAGATTTCTTGTTTTAAAAAATGCATAAAGATAATAGCAACATATTAGTCAATTAATTCATTTAGTTAGCTGTAATGTCCTGTTAAGAAGAAGATACTCTGTATCAACTCAAAGGCAGTTACATAATATTCATGGTGCCTGTGCTTGTCAGATTCTGTTTACTTAGGACTATGGAATACAGCCAGTTATGGCTGTAGTCCTCAGTGGTGCTCATAGCAGTAATGTGTGTAAATTCCTTTGCAGCAGCGTTCCAGAACAAATGGCAATACCAGTGCGTAGCTGCACTGTTAAATTCCGCCTTGAATGTGGGTGGTAAAGGGAAAGCCAGCATAATTCTTGCATTTAGGGTTGCTTTTTCCTTCCGTGAATTATGAAACACCATGTTGAGAAGTGCCTGCTCATCCCACGCCTAATAAACCTGGCACTCTTTATGTCAGAATGGAAGGAGGGAAATTGAGTTTGCCGTAACCCACGCTGAGGGGCGGTTGTGCTATGTTTGCTGACCCACAGTTATGCAGAAGATGGTTTACATTTGGAGCCAGAGAAGAATTTATTTAGGAAAAAGCAATTAATTTGTGATGCATTCTAGCATTGCAAGTCAGTGAAATTTTAATATTCCAAACTGAGCAAATAAGAAATTGGCAACACCACTAGCTAAGACAACAAAAACTGTTTCCAGTTTTTTTCAATGTACTTTTCAAGATGCAAGTCTGACAGCCTCTTAAAATGCAGTGGGAATCTCTTCACTGATAGAAACGCCCATCTTTTTGAGCAATTTGAGACATGATATGTATACAAAGGGAAGAGACCGTGGAAGAACATCATGCTGTATCTTGGCTGCATAGCACTTCCTGTGTGCTGCATGTCCGGAGGAATGGGGAACGCAAAGCACTGGTGTTTCGCGCTCTTTCAGCAGTTCTGTCCTGGCCCAAGCCACTCTCAGAGGGAGCCGAGGTTACCTTGTTTTACTTTCCTTATCCCTTTCTTTCAGGAAGCACAGCCACTCTGCTGCTTTCTTCCCTCCACTCTTTAGTCTGTATGCTCTGCCATAGGCAGACATATGGAAATTGCACATGTGACTTATTTCCCATTAGCAGTCCCTAGCATTGGCTCTGTATGTTGGTGGGAGAAGAGGTGGAAAGTGGGTTCCATGTAGAGCAACAGTGTCCACTTTACACTAGGTCCCGTGCAAAATGTAATGTGCAAAGTCCCTTTTAGCTCCCCGATATGAGCCGTCTCAAGTGCACTGTGAGTGCAGTGCTGTGGTTCAGAGTCACAAGGCAGGACTATGCTTTGGGATGCCAGAGTTTAGGGTCTTCTCCTTGAATCCTTGCGTGACAGGTGAACTCCACCTTGGCTAGCTAGAATAGACTTAGGTTTCTTTGGCTTACTTTTATGGGTTTTTACACACAAAGCCAGTCTTTCATTTTTTTTTTTTTAATTCTAACAAAAACATGTCAGTTTTCTCTTTTTCACTGCCAGTTGGATGTTACATTTTTCATGTGAAGAGATTCAGGCTTTCAGTAATGCAGAAATAGGACCTTGTTTTGCAACTGAGTGTATTAAAATTTTATTTATTATTTATTTATTAAATTTATTCTTGTGTATTTTAACTCTGAGCAGTTCCTTATAGAACACATATCAGGTAACCTGACTGCTGCAGGGAAGGAACAGAATAGTTTTTAAGGATTTCAGTTCCATGCTTAAAAGTGAAGTCATGCAGATCCACCCCACATGCATTCAGCAGACTTCCCCATAGGAACCAGTCTGCACATGACAATGGGCTTTTTCACATCAGCTAGTTGCAGTGATACAAAGCTTCAACAATTCAGTGAGCAACTGTGTTTCTGGCCAGCATCCATGCAATTAAAATGATTCAGCCTACAGCCATCGCCTGAGATAAATGAGAATGAAATCATTACAACAGGATCAACATTTCCTGCTTTGAAAATGAAAATCTCATATTTTGCCACTGCTTATATTCTGTTTATCTATTTGTGGAACAGTAGGACTC